CATTAGTGCGGCCTGAATACCTCCGACCGGGAAACGAAAAGGTAAAGAAATCTTTGATGAACATACTCCCTCTTGACCTGCCCGGCAATTGCAAAATCCAATACAATTATCTAGAACTAGAACTAGGCAATTTCATAAATTCCTCTAATGGTTTGGTCCTTTGGGGCGGGCGTGAGACAGACAAGTACTACGTTCTTAACCCGATGACAAAGCGGGTTGTGACGTTACCATCCCCGCCCCCGCCCTCAGGGAGTGACACATCCATCGGGTTGATGTGTCAAGAGAACACAAGAGAACTGGCAGCCAAGTACATTGTCGTCCGAACTGATTGTGTCAGCCAACAGGGAAGGCATACTTTGAGGATGGTGACTTATTCTTCTAAGAGAGGCATCTGGGCCGTGGCCGAACCTACAGTGATCGCCCCCGCGGGAGAATACTTGCCTGGTGTGTTTAAAGGTGCCCCTTTAGTGATGAATGGTGTTTTTCACTGGTACTTCTACGGGTTCAGATTAACACTAGCACTTTATCGTCCCAGTGAAGAGCAAGTCCAGGTCATCGATGTCCGCCACTATGATGGAATTGGTCAATACTGGATCTCCACAGCTATGACAAGGTCATCCATTGAGGACGGTGACATGTTACTGTTCGGGGGCAATGATGCCGTAACTATGAGAGTTTTCATGCTGACTAAGGATAGTGAAGATGGGGCTAATCCGTGCCCAAGTGCGGTGACTGCTCAAGAATGGATGTTGATGTACGATATCAGTGTTGATTCGATCTGGAACGACATCGGCTTACTGTCATCAGCCCAGAGAGGGAGGTTTTTCGTGGAGGCCTTCATTCCGCTTAATAATAAGAAGGCTCTCATTGCTCTTATTCGTTGGGTACCACGCGGGAAGGTATACCTTTACAACCTGGACACCAAATCCATCCAATCCATTCGATATCATGGAAAACCTCTAGTTACCTCCCAGCAGTTGAATTTACTTGGCTATACCTATCCTTATTACTTAGAACCTTCCTCTCTTTTTTCATATGCTCTTTAGCTATTATTCTATTAATATAATCGAGGTGTTCTTTCTTGAATCTTATCTATATATGGATTAAGATGAACAGCTTTTGCTGCAACGAATATCAATGGCCAAATGTGGTGTGATTCCTTATGTTGTGACCTCTTGAATTTTAAGCATGAGAACCCACATCCAACTTAAATTTTTATATGGCCAAAGGCATTCTTCTATATAAACTTTTATCAAACATTAAACTTACTCTAAGGAAGTGTTTGTAAATGCTTTTGCTTAAAAGAAAACACGTTTTGAAGTGATTTTGGATAAAGTGATTAGTAGTAAAAGTTAATAGTGTTTGAGAAAATAAATGTTTTTTGTGTAATAGAAAAAGTAAAAAGCAGTTTTCACTCAAAAGCCGAGAAACGCTTTTTAAGTAGAAGTTGTCACTTGAAAACTCGTATTTTAGCATTTTTAAGTCAAAAGGTGAGAAGCGTTTTTTTAAACTATTGCAAACACTCTCTGAGTAAATTCAAGAATGGGAAATTACAAATTTGTATTACATAAAACTTAAACTTTTAGGTTCTAATTACTTTTAATTTTTAATTCTTTCATCACATTTATTTTATCACATGCTCTCTTTGTAACAGTCAACTTGTTCTTAACTTCATTATTAGTTAATCATCCACATTCTTAACTTTATAAAAACCAAATGTAACATATTGGAAACGGGCACTGCGTAGTACTCCATCATCATGTATTGTCTCGCTATCTGAGTTATTGTTCAAAGAGCAATGATGTATGGACGCCTATATATACAAAAAAAAAAGTGTTAGAAGATTAACAAAACCAAAACCTCAAGATGCATATTATTTCCCTTTGTTGTAGCAAATCTTGCTTCAAAATTCAATTCAATACATTCAAAATTTGTGACCTTTTATCACTCGCTTATAGAAGTGGGAAAGGAGGGTGAATCAGTAAACAAAAAGAGTATCGTATGTTTGGCATAACTAGCTGAAAAGATACTTTTGTAAGTTTTTTAATAATTACTAGTATTAGTTTTTATTGACTGAAAAGGTCTTAAAAAGAAAAGGTGATAGCTGTTTGGTAAAAAGCTGACTGTTTGAATTAGTTTTGTTCTGTATACAAGCTGTTTGGATTAATTAATGCTAAAAGTCACAGACTTTTCTCAGATGCTACTCCCTGTAGCATCTCAAAAAAAAAGCTTTTATTTTTTGAAAAACTCTTAAGTATTGTTATGCCAAACATACAACTGGAAGTTTTAAGAGTGTTTTTAAATAATAAAAAAGCTAGAAGGTATAGACTTTTGTCTGCCAAACATACCAATGTGATGGAAAAATATGTCAACGTCTAAAATAAAAAGATACGTGTAACGACAACTTGTACGGAGTAGTTGACATGACAACTTTTATATAAAGTTGATGATTTATATATTGTATATACATATTTGAATTTTTTCCAAATTTTTTAAATTTGATACATTGAGATCTTGAATCATAATTACGATTACTAATCTTGTTTCAAATTGAATAGAATATTAATAATTTATTATTTGTTTTTTATCGTATAATTTGTTACGTAGTATTTGTTTGTAAATACTTTTAGTATACATCACTAATAAGACTAATTTTTTAGTATTTCATTTGGCCTATAACATGACATTTTTTATATTTGGATTCATGTGATAATTTTTACCAACTCGAAAATTTGATATGTTACAATGTGACAGGGGCGGATGTATATTCATTGTATTGGGGGCACATGGCCCCAATGGCTTCTAACTATATTTTAAGAAAGTTCAATTAACAATTTGTATTCAAAGGTAGTGCCCCCAATAAATTTTCATGGAACAAGGAAACCGGTCAATGCCAATATATTGCACAACTTTTGCAAATTAGTGCATGCCACTTTTATACGATAGTACATTTTATTCTTAGTATCTAATCTTAAGCAACTAAATAACTAAAAGGAAGCTAAGGAAAAATAGATCACAATTTGTGTTCTCTAGGTGATCTGATACTTTTATTGTTTATACAATAATCCTAATAAGTGTTTTTTTGACTGCCTAATAAGCCAGTAACTATGTAAAAGTAGATGTACTTAATACATTACGAATGAAGTCCTCACTTAAAAAAAATGAATATATCAAGACATCAAGATATAAGACTCCCTTTCTTTCTAAACAAATTCTCACTTTAATTGTGCAAGGAGATTAAAAATAATGGCTCATAAGAGGATTATTAAAAGACAAAAACGGATGAAATTATCTTCTGAGTGAATGATTCTATTAAGGAAAAATAACAATAGCCATATTTAAAAAATTATATCATTAAAAGTTTGTAGATGATACTAATGTTGTAGAGAGATCGATAAAATCATAAAAGTACTAATTCAAATAGCATAATATTGATTTCTTTAGAATTAAATGAAAGATAAAAAGAGGATGACACCTCATCCCTAAGTACCCTCCAGAACCGATTGGACAATTATCTAAGAAATTAAATAGGAGATAAATTTAGATTTGACGAAAGCAGAAACTATGAAGACTAGTTAGAAAAAAAGTTAGGAATATAGGAAGTGTTTTCTCGGATTATATAATATTATAGCATTATTTGAACTAAATATGTGTTTACAATAAAAAAAAACTAAATATATGTTTATTTAGTCATACTTGACATTTCCTTATACTTTACTATTTAATTATAGTGGGTAGCAAGCAGGGGGTAGATACGATTTGGAATGGTTCGGGATTAGGGTTATACCGGTCCCGATCCGATAATCATACAAATAGGGCAACAAGACGGGATGTGAACCTTTTAATTGTACGAACGGAACATTATCAGTTTCAGGTTATTTCGGAATGGGATAACGGGTCATGATTCTTGCCCAACCCTAATAGTCAGTGCCCCTAATAACAAAAAATCCTAGATCCGCCCCTGCAATGTGATATACGTATTAAGATTTGGTCAATCAAGAGTATCTAATCTTGTACTCCCTCCATCCCTTTAAAAGATTCTCATTTATTAACAAATAAATGAGGTATCAATACTAACACCATTATATTATACTTTTTACCTTTGTTCCTAAGTAAACATTTCATTTCTCTTTAAGTAATCTTAAATAACAAATGAATCATGAAATATTAAAAATAATTCATTTATAAAATCAGAGTTATCAATACTAACACCATTACTCCCTCCGTCCCTAAATGTTGTTCCAATTGCGGATTACGAAGGTTGACCGACGATAAAGTTAAATGATCACTGTGAAAACTCGGATTATTTTTAGTAAATAAAATTTACATATTCAGAAACTACATTAAACCCGCTACAAATCCTGCAAAAAATAATTCAACTTTTATAAAATTTTGATATAAAAAGTAAGAGTTTAAGAGTGATTTAAGTTGACTCTCGATAAGCGAAATGGAACTTCTTTTAGGGACAGAGGGAGTATATTATACTTTTTACCTTTGTTCCTAAATAAACATTTCATTTCTCTTTTCGATCCGTCCCTTAAATATGTCTCATTTCCTTATTTAGTAAACAATATAGTGCAAAACAGTGTCACTTTTTTAAATTGTGTGAAAGTCAAACGGAACTTTTAATTTGGGGCGGAGGGAGTATACCTATTAAAATTATTCTCAAATTATACTTGAACTATCTTATTTAATTATTGTCTAAGTAACTATGTCATTTTGTCATGCGAACTTTTTATTAATTATTGTCTAAATAACTATGTCATTTTGTCATGAGCACTTTTTAACAGGAGGTAGGTAATATATGAGAACTGAGAAGTTTGGGAAAATGAACATTTATAAAATTAATTAGTGAAATTATGTAAAAGCGAAGTGTATCTTCACTCCAAAGCCAGGAACAAAGTGATCAGTCAGCTAGTTCAATTCCACTTGTAAAGAATCTACTTTCTTCTTCCTTGCCCACTAAGGAGTTTGCTGATCGTATTTGGAATGTATTTGTGGTTTCTGCATTGTTAAGCCAACAGGTTTATAAATTTTCGGAATAATTTCTTAAATTTTACTCATCTTTGTAAAGCAAATTGATCAATAATAATTACTTTCATCATCATCATCATCATAAGTCGTCGATAAGTAGGTCTGGCTGCCATGGATGAGCAAATAATCGCGGGAATTCTAGTCTGTTTGCCTCCAAAATCAGTTTACAGATTCCGGCCTGAATCGAAGTCATGGAATCATTTGATTTCCCATCCCCTTTTCATCCAGAGATACGACAGCCGGCTGAGGCGGCGCGGCGGTGCTGGTTTGTCGGCCATGTTTCAAGGTGCATCAGCCCGGCCTGATTACCTCCCACCCGGAAAGAAATCTGTGATGAACATACTACGTCTTGACCTGCCCGGACGCGTATACCATACAGCCGGCTGTACGGCTGGCACCGTACAGCCGGTGGCATTTTTGTAAATTTGATGAACTTCATGAATTCTCTTATATGAGCATTGATGCAAGTTGGATGAGCATCGAGTTTGTTCTTCTGAGTATTAGGAGTCTAACAATGAGCACCAGTGATCCCTGCTTCATATCTTCTAATTCAGTTTCTTTTTATTAATTTTCGTTTATAAAAAATTCTTAAATTGTGTTTAAAATTAATTTCAATATGTCAATCTAATGTAGTATGATATGTTTGATATGTGCATCATTTTAAAATGAGCATAAACCAGTATCAAATGAGCATATATAATTTACAAAATGAGTATCAAAAAAATCAAAACTTCATTTGTGTATGCTCATTAATTTTGGGCGTTATATTTGATATGAGCATCATTTTAAATTGAGCATAAAGCAGTACCAAATGAGCATACATAATTTACAAAATGGGTATCCAAAAATTCAAAAGCTTATTTGTGTATGCTCATTGATTTTGGACGTTATACTCATTTAAGTTTAACAAAAAAAACACATTTTTAATGTGTTTAATATTCAATTGTGTATGTTCATTTCTTTGAGGCGTATACTCATCTGAGATTTATATAAAACTCATTTTTAATGAGTACAAAATGAGTATCAAAAATTCAAAAGCTCATTTGTGTTTGCTCATTGATTTAGGGCATTGAATTTGAATCTATATGAATCTAATATATGAATTTGATGTAATATTATACTTTTGAAAAATGCATGAATATGACATTTTAAAATGAGTTTACACCAATACGAAATGAGCATACACGAATTACGAAATGAGTATCGGACAATTTAAAAAAACTCATTAAAATCTCCACTATACTCAACTTTTTATTTGTGTATACTCATCAGTAAGACTACGATTATACTCCATCAGAAAACGAAGAAAAGGAGAAACAGGAGCCAAATCTAGGGTTGAGATGCCCTTTCATCCCCGTCGATCGCGAAATCCACCATAGACATCAGTTGAGAGCTCCATCATCACAGATCCGGCCAAGAGGCGAGCTCAGCGAATCCCTGTGGCGAGGAAGCCACGAACCGCGCGAGCTGGGAACGATGACCATACAATGCGCGAAGCCTCTCGAGGACGAAGAAGAGATGGAGATGGTGCGAGGGAAGCCTGCTGGAGACGACGACCTGTGCTGCGCAGAGAACAAAAAGTCCGGCTGTACCGTGCGCACGGTACAGCCGGCTGTACGATGTAATTTACCGACCTGCCCGGCAATAAGGCAATTGCAAAATCCAATACCAATTATACCAGTATCTAGAACTAGAACTATGCGTAGCCATAAATTTCTCTAATGGTTTGGTCCTTTCGGGCCAGCGTGAGTCACACAAGTACCACGTTCTGAACCCGATTACAAAGCGGGTTGTGTCGTTGCCACCCCCGCCGCCACCGTCGTGGGAAGACACATCCATCGGGTTGATGTGTCAAGAGAACAAAAGTGAACTGGCAGCGAAGTACATCGTCGTCCGAATTGATTGTTGTGCCCAACAACCGGAAAGGCCTACTTTAAGGATGGTGACTTACTCTTCCCAGACAAGCATCTGGGCCGCCGCCGAAGCCACAGTGATCGTCCCCACAAGAGAGAATATGTTCCTATTGTGTTTGCAACTGATCCTTTAGTGATGAATGGTGTTTTTCACTGGTACATCTACGGGTTCAGATTAACACTAGCACTTTATCGTCCCAGTGAAGAGCAAGTCCAGTTCATCGAGATGCACCACTACGATGAATTTCGTCCACACTACTACATCACCACAGCTATGACAAGGTCATCAATTGAGGACGGTGACATGTTATGGTTCGGGGGCATTGATACCAAAACTATGAGAGTTTTCATGCTCACAAAGGATAGTGAAGATGGGGCTAATCTGCGCCCAAGTACAGTGACTGCTCAAAAATGGGTGTTGATGTACAATATCAGTGTTGATTCGATCACGAACGACACTGCCTTAGTGTCATCAGCAGAGACAAGGAGGATTTATGTGAAAGCCTTCATTCCTCTTAATAATAAGAAGGCTCCTGTTGCTCTTATTCGCGAGGAAGAAAGCAGGGAGGTATATTTTTACAACCTGGACACCAAATCCTTCCGGTCCGTTCCATATCATAGACAACAACTTCCAGTTACCTCCCAGCAGTTGAATGTTCTTGTCTATGGCCACAGTATTATAGCTAGTTATCCTTACTTCGAACCTTCCTCTCTTTCTACATATGCTCTTTAGCTATTAATCTGAGGTTTTCTTTCTTAAACTCTTCTCTATATATGGATTAAGATGAAAAGATTTTGCTGCAATGAATGTCAATTGCTAAATGTGAGTTGATTCCTTATGTTGTGACCCCTGTATATGGCCAAAGGCATTCTTTCATATAACCTTTTAATGAACTGTAAACTTGCTCTGAGTAAATTTTAATTAAATTCATTACTAGTTAATCATCCTAATTCTTAACTTTACAAAAAACAAAATCTAACATATTGGAAACGGACATTGCGCAGTATTCCACCATCATATATTGCCTCACTATCCGAGTCATTGTTCAAACTTCAAAGTGCAATGATGTATTGATGCCTATATATAAAAAAAGTGTTGGAAGATTTAGTCAGCCAACCTTTACTTGTGTTCTAATCTCAAATTACAATAGAACCAAAGTAACAAAACCAAAACTTCTAGAGGCGTATTATTTCCCTTTGTTGTAGCAAATCATTTCTTCAAAATTCAATATATTACATTTCATATTTGTGACCTTCACTTACAGAAGTGGGGAGGGAGGGTGAACCTGTGAATAAAAAAAAGTATATACCAATGTGCTGGAAAAAAATGGCAACGTCTAAAATAAAAATATACTCCGTATATTTGTGCTTCCATCATCGGACAACATTCATCTGTCTATATGGGATCAAAAACGGCGTTTGTTTCCTTTTATGATTGGAGATGGACATAAACTAAAGGATCTCGTGGGAGTAGCTCTTGCTGGTGACGATGCTTTCAATGGATGTACTGGTGAAGAAAGTGGGGATTGAAATAATCTTCCCAAGGAATTTGTTCTTATCACCCTTGCAGGTGAAGCTCCTGGTGATTGACATTTTGATGTGCCTGCAGTAATCAACAGGTACATTTTGCTAAGAAATGCTAAGAAATGTGTGTGTAAATTGCGCGAAAGAAACTTATCAATTTACCTGCTTCATTTTGCTTGCTCTTCAAACTATTGTTAAATATAACATTTTTCAGGGTGAGCTTCGATTTGGTTGGCTTTATAGTGGTTGCTTTTTGTGGATCCTCGGGAGTAGATGAGGAATGGTTTATTGAACTGAGCATTTTCTTTTCTGGGATTTTGGTTAATCTAAATTTGGTTTTCATATTGCTTAAGAATTTCTTTCTTGTCGATTCAGAACGAAATGGCGTCGTTGTAACGCCTGTTGTTAGTTTTGGATTCTCTCCATAACATTTTGGTTTATACCCAGCTTCTGCTGATGATATCTTTTCTTGTGCCTCATGATCATCACGATTTGATGCAGGTTTTGGGTCAATAGTTGTCAAACGGTTCTTCTTTCCCGCAACCTCAGCTGTTAAATGCTTCTTCCCAGTAGATCGAGAAACATCATTTGCCAACCACTGAATTTTTGTTTTTGATGACATTCCTCTATCTGACTTGGTCTCATTGCTGCTTTCTGTGGATATTGAATGATGGCTTTTCCTTCTTCGTGTCTCAACGAAAGGTGCACTTGGATGATCATTCGGCAGCCCAGAGAGTAGCCTCCAGTCAGGGGTATCTGCAAAAGCTGAGGTAGTTTCATCAGATAGAATTGAAATTTGATCAGCTGAAGATAAGCGCTTTGAGTGTGGGATCTCTGAGACCACAGATCGTTGATCAGAAAAAATTCCCAGATCATTCCTGTCCATAACTTCCGAGCACGCCAATCTTCTGTGACGAGTTCCACCATTATTTTGCATGATGACATGGAGATCATCTTCATCAGGCAGACCTTGAGGCGTGAATGGAAAGCCACCATTTCTTGAAGTTTTCTCCTTCTCAACAAGCTTATAAGCAAACATCTGAAATGGTATTTCACATACAGAAGGAACAGATTCCGTGATGCCATCCATGGCAGCAAACTTATTGGAGTAGCCAGCTTCAATGTCACAGTAATCAACAAGAGGAGGAGGACAACCAGGCTGACCATGCTCGGGATTTATAACAAGGACCTTCTTCATGTATCGTAAAATCCTGCAAATGGAAGAAAAACCGGGGCGTGCGTTGGGGCGGGTTTGCCAGCATTTCCTGATCAAGTTCATGAGGAATTTAGGGAAAGGGTGTGGGAAGAGCGGCCTCTCCCCAGCCATCAAACTGTGTACCATTTTATCTCCTTGAAGGGGCCGCACTATCTCCCCACTGCCTACCCCATCCTCAAATGGAGCTTTCCCTGTCAGAATCTGGAAACACAGCATACCAAAGCTGTACACATCAGCTTTCTCCGAGTACTTCATGTTGCCTGTGTTGTTGCTGCTGCTTAGCTCAGCCACAACTTCTGGTGCATACCATACCACCGGATCAATTCCACTTACTCTTGGGCAGCTTCTGTGAGTATACTGGCTTTTCAGAAGGGATAAACCAAAGCCAGCTACCTTCACATGGAAGTAATAACTCTCCAAAGACGAGGAGCAGGAGCTGGTTGTTGGTCTGAGAAGAATATTTGACGGATTCAACTCACCATGGAAAAGGCTTCTTGAATGTAAGTACTCCACCCCTCTTGCAATCTGAAGCATTATGTCAACTGCAACCGGGATAGAAAATGACATTCTCCTCCTTTGCCCGGAATTCTCCTTCATGAAAATGTCCAAACTCTTGCTCATCAAGTCCATCACAAGAAACCCCTCTTTCCTTGATTCATCATAGAATCCGCAATGGTATTGCAGCACATTTGGGTGAGACATCGACATAGCCATAGCGATCTCCGATCTCAGCACTTCAATGTCTCCGTAAAAAGTCCTCAGCGCGAAACTCTCTCCTAGCCATTGGATTTCCTTAAGATGGCTCCCGCCTGATCCTATGCGTCGTTTCACGTGATAATTGCTTGCTTCCAACAATAGGGAAGTTGGTAATAGCATAGTATCTGTCTCTAATCCTCTGCTCAACTTCATTATCAGCTTCTCTGCCAGCTTATTGCTCTGTATCTTTCTCAACATCTCAAGAAGCAGCCATCTGTCTTCATTCCAAAT